TTTTTATTTTTTATTTATTCAGTAATTTTCGATTCACCTGTACTGCAGCATCATGTTCTGGATGGTGTCAATGTCTACTTCGCAAATTTTTTAGAAATATTCTGCATCGCAATCATTATTGGATTTGGGATTTTTGTCCATTATCATTATTTTTTCTACTTAATATTAAAATCTTAAATCAGACAAGCCTGGAGTACATTTTTGGGGTCAGTTTTGAACAAAAATGGGATCTTGTCGTCTATTTGGTCTTGTAATTAGTTTATTGTCAATATTAACAAAAATTCTAATTTTTTATGTATGTGGCTCTAAAAACGGGTACGGGTAGGAACTTCTTTTTAGATAGTCATATCAGGAAAGTAAATCAATCCCTACCTTCCGCAGATTCCAGGTGTTTCCTGACCCGGGAAACTAGTAACTGCTAAGGGTCCCTTGTCCAGGGTCACGGATGAAGTCCACAACGGCATCTAGGGCGGAGAAGAAGGTCTTCATAACGGTCTGGAGGACGGAAGTGACAGCCCCCTGGTTTTAGGATGTATTTAAAATCGAAGGGTAGGTGAGACTCTTTAGCTGTAGTGGAAGCAACTCGCATAGGAGAAGGATACTCTGATGTGAAATCCCTGGCCTTCCAGGTTGGGGGTTGAGACACCGGGTCAACTCCTCGGTACTCATAAAACACGTAAAATGTTAAAAAGCCTAACCAAAGCCTCGGAACAAAAGATTGGAAACACAGTAGACGAAAACAACAAAGAAAACGGTTAATGAATTTTTGTATATGGAATGTGCAAGGTATCTCCCAAAAAAACACCAGAAATCATATCAGAACTCAAAAATGCAGAGATAGATATCGCGGTGCTTACAAAAACTAAAAAGAAGGGTATGGGTTCTGAAAAGTGGGGTCACTATGATCTGTTTTATAGGGGAGTAACTAAAGACCAAAGAGCACAACAAGGTGTTGCTATTGTTATTCGCAAAACCTTAAGAAGACATATTAGGTCTTGGGAAGCAATTAATCAGAGATTGATAAAAATGAACACCATGATAAAAGGAAGCAGAATAGCCTTACTAGGTGTATATGGAATTAATGAGGACGCATTGGTCAACAGTAAAGATGCATTTTTCGAACAACTAAAGGATGAAATTATAAAAGTAGGAACATCTAGGGAGATCATACTTCTAGGAGACTTCAACAGCAGAGTTGGACACGAGTAATGAACCAAGGTTCATTACTCGCCATTCAGGATCAGGTTATACCAACCAAAAATTTCCTGAAATATATCGTCAGACCCTTAGGTCCAAAATGACAAATGCCGATATGGATGTCAGGCATTTACTGCAACTAAATATAAGGAACGGCATGACTCAGTAGGAAAGATCCTTCATCAAGAGATATCCATCAAACTGGGACTTTTCCAAACAAACCATCTCCCTATTATCAATACGTTCCTGGGAGTATACTTAAGAATGGCAACTACAAGCTATATTGGGACCGCACTGTGCTCACAGGCAGTTTGTTATATAGTTAGATACTTAATAAACTAAATAGATAACCAACACTTATTAATGTGGCGATACCCAACAACAATAATCTTCGTGTTAAACAGAACGAAAAGATCACCAAGTACAGGGATCCGGAGATTCAAATACGAAGATAGTACAAAATGGAAAGTACCTAGATAATGACTCTACTACCGGAGTCATTCCGAAGAACCTCCTCGAAAACATAAAAATCTAGATCTAAATGAACATCTCTATAAGACCATGCAAAAAGCTGTACTACTTCAGTTCTAGATGTGTACGAAAATTTTTGGTAAATACTCCATTATACCCAATCACCTAGTGCTCGATAATACAGAAAGAGTCCCGCCAAAGCTCAATCCTTTTGATACTGTAGATATCTGGGATGAGTGAATTTTCCCCTTTGAGGGAGTGAGAGTCGTAAGACTAAATCTGATGATGTTTGTATCGAGCTTTGAACGCTCGAGTATCGAGCGTATGAACTTTGTATCGAGACCTGAAAATGCTTTGCATATTGTAGAAAGCGAAACCGGTGGTCTGATAGTTAAATTAAATTGATTGTGAGTAAGTCTTATTTATTATTTCTTTACCTATCTGATGATGTTTATTGACAAGAAAGAATTATAATGAGTAGTTTTTTTCATACATGGTAATTTTACATTTGTCACTCAATAACCAAAAAAACATTTACTCATTATCCGTTAAAACCTATTGGTCGAACACGGGAATAGTGTGTGACGACATTTCATTATATTTATATAGGTGTATAATATTCTACAAACATTGCATAATATGTATATTACATGTATTTGATATTTTTATATTTAAACGAACGAACATAACAAATCACTATATTCCAAATATTCTTCTTTTTCTAATATTTACCATTATTAATTAGCGAGATCGAAAAATGTATGCAAAAACATACGATCCAGGGTTAGTACATACTTTTTAAATATAGATTTTACCATATTGTTCTGAAGCTATTTCCTTCTGGTATTTTAAGTTAATTACTATTGAACTGGGAATAAGCCACAATTAAAGGTAAAAATACGTTTATTGACGTTTCAATTCCCACTTCGAAAATCGTTCTCAAAATACAAACAGTAAATTGTAAACAGTAAACATTAAATATTTTTGGAGCAGGATTCATAGCAGATCTTTGTCCTATTGATTTCATGATATTTCCCAATTGAACATATTGATTGGTTTTAGTGCGAGTCTCGTAGTGATGAGGTAAGATCCGTAGAATATGCTTATGATTATATGTGTACAGTAGCAGGAAATATACAGTATTGGAAGATTTAAAACGGAACATACGGATTATTAATACAATTAGTAAGATCCCCTGACCTGCAATTACCCAGTGTAAATTTCAATATAACGTCGCGATGTCTTAATTAATAATTAATTCATTTGTTCGACTGGATTGCTACTCCTTCGCGATTTCTAGTAGCGTATTCGGCAAGTGTACGTCGATACTGTTTTCTATCGTCCACTGATTTACTGTGTTTTTGTGCAGATAATAACAATGTTTTATTAATAACAATTTTTTTGTGTTCATTAGATATTATTTGAATTGGTTAGTGTACAGTTTAATATATTTATTATTCCAAATATTGTTGATAATTTAAAATTTAAAAGGATGTATATGATACATCAAAATCTACAGATTTTTGCCGAAGGTATCTACCGATTTGGCAACAGTCCCAAGGAACATCACTGGCCGAGCAAAACAAATACATGCCCTTTGCTTTGCTTCTCATTATAACGCCCTAAGCTGAAATAAAAGTAGTGTTTCTAACCATAAACCATGTATACAAACAAAGAAAAAGTACAAATTTTAAAATGGTATTTTGGGGGCAACTCGTACCGTGATATTATAAATTTCTTTACTTGTGCCTATGAAGATACAATCAACTATTAGTCGTATTATTAAAAAATTTGAATCGTTTGGTTGTGTACAAAACTGTCAAGAATGTACGGATCTACCACGAGAGAAAATAATCAACGAAGTTAGGCAAAATAGGGAAATTGATGTCAGTAGTGTTGCTGAAACTAGTGATCCTTGTTCAAGCAAAACTATTGCTGAAAAGTTGACATGAATGATAGGACTGTCAGGAATATTTTGAAACGGAATGGTTATCGTTGTTTTAAGGTTTGAGCAACTCAAGAGTTATTAGCCGAGGACAATTTCAAGCGTATGGAATTTTGTGAACTGATGATGAATAAACAAAATGAAAGTGAACATTTTTTAAAAAAACATTTTGTTTACCGATGAATCGACATTATCGTTACATCGGAAACATAATCCTTTTATCGTACGATATTGGTCTCGACATAATAAACACTTGAGTATTCCAGTACGAACACAGTATCCCCAAAAACTTAATGTTGGGACAGGTATTTTGGGGGATTAATCGTCGGCCAATTTTTTATTGATAGTAATTTAACGGGAAATAAATATTTAGAATTGTTGCAAAATCAAATTATTCCAGCAGTTCAATTACTTCCTGTCAACTTTGACGATAGTTGGTTTCAGCAAGACGGCTGTCCTGCTCACAATACACGAGCAGTTCAAAATTATTTAGAAACCATTTTTGGAAATAAATTAATTTCTTCTCGTGGTACGATCAAGTGGCCTCCCAGATCACCAGACGTATCCCCAAATGATTTTTTTCTTTGGGGATATTTAAAAACAAGTGTTTATCGACATAGTTTTAAAAGAGTCCGAAATTTAGCGGAATTAAGGGACAAAGTAATTCATCTTTGTGGAAGCATTAGATATGGACTGCTCAGGGATATGAGACTATCTTTGTACAACAGATTTGGTTATTGCTTCGCAGAGAGAGGTGGAATATTTGAACCTCTATTACGTTGAATTTTTGTTTTTAATATTATTATGTTACTTTTGGAATTCGTTTTTATTTTAATTTTTAGAAATCTACTTTTTTTATGCCATTATGGCAATAAAATATAACAATTTCTTTTAATAAAATAATATTTTAATTCCATATCTACGTAATATTATAGATTTTTGGCGCTTTGAGATATAGCCTCTCCAGTATTCCGTTTTATACTAGCGGCTTGGCGAGATACAAGATTTTATTACTCGATGATCGTTTGTGTTTGATAAGGTGCGTACGTGCGCAGCAGTCGAAAAATATCGACTGCAGAAGAAGTCCAGTCGAACAAATGAATTAATTATAAGACATGACGACGGTATATTGAAATTTACACTGGACAGTTGCAGGTCAGGGGATCTTACTAATTGTATTAATAATCCGTATGTTCCGTTTTAAATCTTCCAATACCGTATAAATATAAGGTTGCATCGGTCGATGGGAAAATAGTGGATACAATTTCATATCTCGGTAAAATTTATTCATGTTAACAATAATTGTATTCTGAAGATATAAAGATGCTAGAAAACCGAAGAATAGTTACACATTATTAAAATAGAAAATAATCATATTTGAACTTACTTTGCTTTATTGCTAAGTTTCTTTGCAATGCCTTTGCCTCTAAGCGACGCATCGACTGATAGGACAAAAATACTGAGTATTTTATTAACGTCAGGATATCTTTTGAAGAGATCAACTTCCCTTTCTGCGTACTCTAGCATTCGCAAGACTTTTACAAATCTTTCGTCCGTGACAGGGTATTCTTCGAATTCAAATTTGTCTAAAAATCGAATTAGATTGTGTATGCAAGGAAAACTAAGTATATAAAGCTAAAATAAATTATTCTTTATAGTAAATAACGATGCGCGATGTTTGATGAATTAATATTAAATATTTACCGATCTGTCAATAACTTGTTTAAAAACTAAAAAGCAACAGTATATCTTTCAAATTCTGTTACAGATAATTAGGAATACAAAACGGTAATGTGAACAAATAACAAAAATGTGTTGCTTAATAACTAATATAAAGCATTAGTTAAAATTGCTGTAGCCTATTAAACAATTCCCATTAAACACAATGGTAATGGATCGTTGAATAAACGTTTCCTATGTTTAAATTTGTGTGAGGATAAGTAAATACTTAACGTGGCTTATTCTAGACGAATAGAGGCATTCCAGTAGGTGGAGTCAAGGTATCCAATCTTTGGTTTGTCGATGACACATTGTTGTTAGCTCAAAGTTAGGAAGAGCTAAAAAAAGTTAGCGATGAGCATAAACTAGGAATATAAAAAATAAGACAAACGTAATCATTGTCGAACAATAAAATACTGAAAACTTTGTTTTCAAAACTTCCACAAATTTTTTTATAAACTATTATTGCTATAGCTGTTCGGCTGATTGCCTTTCTCAAGTGATCTAATTTTGGCATGCGTTTACACCTTATAGTCTTTAATAGAATAGGTTAAGAAGGGGAGAACTGTTTTTGTCAAGTTAGTCATTCAGAATTATATCTGTATTTTTTAATTTGTTAGTTTTTATAGATTCTAACAAAGATCGCTTAAGGCCTAACAGGCAACTCGATCAATTTTTATCGTATATTAATTCACTTTATAGTTATATTGAATTTACAATAGAAACAGAACAAAATCAATCCATAAATTTTTTAGATTTACAAATTATCAGCCTTAAAAACAAACATAACTTCTCCATATTTCATAAACCTACCCATACTGACACGACTATACACAATATATCATCCCATCCCACACAACATAAACTGGCAGCCTTTCACAGTATGTTACATAGATTAACAGAAATTCCGATGTCAAAATACAACTTTGAGACATAATTAAATAGCATTAAGCAAATAGCAGTGAACAATGGATACAACGAACAAACAATTAATAAAATTTTAAATCAAAAACTACACAAGAAAGCTCTGAAATTAGTATTTCCACCACCAGAGAAAAAAACCCAGTACCTTCTGTTCGATTACATATACAGGCAAAATATCAGCAAAAATAGCCAAACACATAAAAAAGAAACAAATAACACCAGATTTCGGAACAAATAACAACTTGGGCAAATATATTAAAAACAACAAGAGCCAAAATAAAAAGCACTTACACAGTGTTGAATACAAACTTAAATGTGACGACTGCCCAAAAACGTACATCGGTCAAACTGGTAAAAATTTTAATATACGAATACCAGAACATAGAAGGGCTTTCAATAATAGAAAAACAGATTCTACATACGCACTTCACCTTCTAGATCATAATCATTCTTTTAATGACGAATTTAAAACTCTTCACATTTAAAATAAAATCATTAAGCTATCTTTTTATCTTTATAGAATCTATGGAAATTAACAAATTACTTAACACCTATATAATTTACAAATTAACACAGATATAATTCTGAATGACCAACCGAGACAAACAGTTCTTCCCTCCTCAACCTATTCCATTAAAGACTATAAAGTGTAAACACATGCCACAAATAGATCACTTAAAAAAGGCAATCAGTCGAAACAGCTGTAGTGATAAGAGTTTATAATAAATTTTGTGGAAGTTTTGAAAACAAAGTTTTCAGTGTTTAATTGTTACATAAAATGAATTTCCATCAAGTAACGGTCGAATCCATCAATTATGTAATGATTATCGATATAATCGAAAACAACAGCACAGAAATTCAGAACATTATTCGATATGAAGTAGTTAAAAGTTCCGTTTATTTACGCACACAAAAAAAAACACTAAGATCGACCTGGTTCGACCACTGGTTTTCCCTATACTGTAATCCTAGCAATAGTCTTCATTGGTCCTTATTTTCCCATAGGACTTCTTCCAGATTTCTCTCCCACATCTGGTTGTCGATGTTCTCTTGTCTGCTTTCGGTTTCCATGGGGTTTTCATTTTAAAATTCGTTTCGGTAGTCGCTCTTCAGTCATTCTCTATACATTGTATCATTGTTGGTAATTTACAAATCTAGGTTATTAAGTTTTCCACATTATTTTCTCTTCCATATTCTTAAGACCCACTCTAGGTATATTTTAAAAAGTGTGGAGGGCAGGCGGCATATTTGCTTTAACCCTATCGTAATTGTGAAACTTTGCGTTATTTCATCATTAACTTTAATTTTTGAAAGAAAATGGAATTATAGAACTGTGTGGTCTCTTCAATAGAATTTATGACACTGTGATATTACCAAATAATCGGCTTAAGTCGGTGTTTGTCACAATACCAAAAAACATCATGCAGTGATTATCTGATGAAAAAAGAGGTTTAAAATGTTTTTGGACCCTTACGGAGAATGCCTGACGAACGTTAACCCCCAAAACTTCACAAATGGAAGCTCCCTGGAAAAAGAAAAGTGGTAGACCTCTTTAAAACTTATTTTAACGTTGAATTGTGGTTTATTGCCATTAAAATAGTAATTACATTAAAATATCACAAGAAAATAGCTTCATAACAATAGATAAGATCTAGATAAGAGAAGGGAGTGTTCAAAAAATGTCGTCAGCCTTACAGCGGCCACCCCACTTTTTGACAAAACAACTGCGTACAAGTAAGAGAGGGTGGTTTTAGTTGGTGGGCACGATAATAGATACCTTAATCTTTGAGTATCCGATCGTTCTCACATTTCTGTTTTCGATTCGACTATGTTGAAATATATTATATATATATATATATATTATATATATATATATATATATTATATATATTTATATATATTTATATATATTTATATTTATATATATATATATATATATATATTATATATATTATATATATATATATATATATATATAATGATTAACAAAACGTAGTAAGATCATTAATGTTACTAAACTTACATTTTCCGTTCCAAAATAGCGGTTTAAAATATTCTTTTGTATGACCTTATGATAACTAAATTAATAGTACTCAAGGAAACTTATGGTTTTAGTGTCCTAATATGAACGTTTCAGTTTATCTAAATAAAAGTTACCTTTTTCCAATAATGCATTAATACAAACTCCCACAATCCTTCCATTATGTTCTGCAATAAGATTTAGACCATTATTAAAATCCTGTAGTGTAAACGACTCCAAATCGTGACAGATTAGTCGATCTTCCGTTACTACTCCAACAGATTCACAACATGGTTCTTGTTTGTAAAAGAATGCTCGAAGATGATCTCGAACTGCTTCTTCCTCATCAGCACGAGCAAGTCTTATCTTGACATCTTCATTCTACAAAATAATATATATAAAAATAATTTAATTTTCTTAACTCGTGGAAACAAAAAAGAAATTAGACGATATACTTCATATATAGACAAGTATAGGCTTAAAATATTTACTAAATGTGTGCCCGATCAATGAAAAAAATATAAAAATGCAGAACAAAATGGAATAAGCATGGATGAAAATTAAATAACTACTAAATGTTAAGTTGTATCATGTTAAACTGTATCAAAGAAAAGACGAAATGTAGGACCAATCTTGAAAAAAAAAACGGTATAAGGTTTATACCGAAATGGGCAAAAAATGCACAAGCCCATTTATGATACTGACCAGATTCTTTTGTTAAGGAATTGATATTTAGAAGAGAAAAAATAAACTTATTTATACTTACTTCTCCCATAATTTTACAACTTACGTACAGTCAAAATCTAATAACCAACTAAAAATATATATTTTAGTTGTATTTTTTTCACTTTGCAAATAATTCGTCGATACTTCAATAGATAAAATATACTCAAATAGAGATAATATATGATATCTTAACATATGATAACTAAGTAGTTTATCTACCCAAAATAAATTTTATTCATGAAAATATATTTTGAAAATTTTTAATATTTTTTTTAGTCAATTTCTGTTACGCTCAGCAATTATTGTTTTTTTGGGTTACTTAGTCTCAGACCATATTGTTTTAAAAGTGTGATCTTCTAAAGGAATTAAAAATCAGTAATATATTTGAAATATAAAATAACATGGAGTGTAAGTTTGAAGTTTGAACAAAAATAACTGTGGCATGTTTCCAAATTAATAATCACCTATTTTACAGACAAAATTAAAGAAAATAAATTTGATCATCGCTTAACTAATATATGGTATTAGCAAGAACAAATGCAAGAACGAGGCGAGACTTCGACAGTCTTGTTCTTGGTCTTGCGCCAATACACCTGGTCTTACTCTTTGTCTTAATATTGCGTTTCCGGTCTTGGTCTTGGTCTTGTACCAAGAGTCTTGCAAGTCTCGCAGCTACCCATTAGCCCATTGGTATTAATTTATTAAACGTTACTTTAGATCTTAAAACGACGTAACAGAGTACGTACATTTTAAGCTTGAATTAACATAGCTATAATAAAGGCTAACCAAATTAATAAATGTCTAAACAACTGACACCGGATGGGGTTTAAACCGATGATCTAAGCGAGCCGTGCCTATGCATAACAGTAGGTAATTGCTTTGATATTACTATTACTTTATGTTAATTTTTTGATCACGAATTAAAGTAAAGTAATACAGTTAACTTAACATATCATTTATATAAATGCAACACGAATTAAATTACAGAACAGTTCACAGTAGCCTTTAACATCACTGTTACTTTATATTACTTCCTTATACCAAGAATCAATGACGGCTAGAACCGAAAACACCAGAAATTACCACAAATGAAGAAGTTAATATAAATATAGAGGAAGTTCGGAAATTACTTGCAAACCTGAAGAACAGAAAAGCAGCAGGTAAAGACGGGATACCAAACGAGTACTGAAATATTGTGGAGCAGCAATCACAGAACAATTAACAACGAGAACGAGCGAACTAGTTCTACTATTCAAAAAAGGAGATAAAAAACAACCAGAAAACTACAGAGGTGTAAAATACTATGCTAAAATTTACAACTACAATTTTACAAGTGCTAATAAATCAGCGGATAAGATTAGCAGATGAACAACAGATGCAATACTCTTTATAAAGCAAATTACTGAGAAATCCCTAGAGTATAATAGATCAGCATTGCTGTATCTGATTGACCTAAAGAGAGCGTTTGACAGAGTAAGACTTTAAAGATGTTATCCATCTTCTGCATAATATAAAAGTTTCTCTAAATATTATAAAAACTATAACTAGATAACATCTACAAAAACAACAATATGGAAGTCAGAATAGATGGACAATTTACAGAACCTACACAAAATGGGCAGCGGAATAAGACAAGGGGATTCATTGAGCCCCATGCTCTTCATGAGTCCCATCATGAATGAAATCATCAAAACCGTTAACAAAGGAAGAGGATGCAGAATGGGAAATAAAAGAATCAAGATACTCTGCTAGGCAGACGATGCAATATTGATAGCCCTAGCAAAAGACTTTAATATGATAATCTCATCTCAGAAATCTAAAACAACAATAGTAGTTAGCAAAGAACCAACAAGATGTAAAATAGAAATTGATGGCATCAGTATTGAACAAGTAATGGAAATAAAATACCTGGGAATTACACTGTCTAGCTATGGAGACCTGGACAAAGAAGAGAGAGATCAAGTACAAAAACCAAATAGACTGACAATATGCCTTAATAACACTAGATTAAGAAAAAGAAATATTAATACTAAGATGAAGTCAAGAATTTATAAACCCAATGTAAAACCAATAATGACATATGCCTCAGAAACAAGTAGAAGAAAATGTAACGTACAGTGTATAAATGAATGGACACAAAATATAAAAAAGAATGGAATAACCACATAAGCAGAATAGAGGAGACCTGTGTCGTCAAAATAGGAAGAGATAAGTCACCAATCGGCAGAAGTATCAGACGTTAACGCAAAAGATGGAGTGACAACCTTCCATAGAGGTATTAATTCACCAATAAACAAGCAGAAATGTTTATAAAGAGGAAGAAGAAGAAGAAAAAGAATCAGTACAAAATAACCATCTGACTAACTCATCACTTAACCTAATTTTACGATTTCTAATTACTAATAACCCTTTAGAAAATAATCTCTCAGCAGGTACTGAAGTTGCAGATATTGAAATAAAATCTCGGGCCATTTTCAATAAAGTCGGATATTCTGTCTCACGCGTCCTCCACAACTATAATATGTCTTCTAAGGCAATGGCTCTGGGTTTACTTAGGTACTTCTCCAACTCGTCAATAATTAAGCCTTGACGACAAAATCCAGATGAAGTAGAAGGACATGCATACAGTCTCTCAAATTACAAATTTCTATTACGTCTTTTTGATTTCTTTACATGATTCTAGAGATTTATTCACTAAGTGTAGTATTTTATATTCTTTATAAAATTCATTAAATTTGTGCAGGCTTTCTGTTTAATTAGCTTCCGCCATAATGTCATGTCAAAAGCCTTATGCCTTACAAAATTAAAAAATTGAGTCTGAAATTAAACAGGTATATCCAGAAGTAGAAGGAGAACATGGGCAAGAAAATTATATTAAAATAGAAGAAGTTAAAGAAGCAATTAACAACACAAAGAGAGGTAAATCGGCTGGTCATGACAAAATCACTGCAGAAATGTTAAAAACAATGGGACCGAAAGGAGTTGAATTTTTAACCAAAATTATGAACATGGCTTGGAACCGATGTACAGTCCCCGAAGATTGGAGAATTGGCATAATACTACCAATCTTTAAGAAAGGAGACCCAAGTTCTTGTGAAAATTATAGAGGAATTAATCTACTTAGTATCGTCTCCAAAATATATGAAAGCATCCTAGAAAAGAAATTAAGACACATCGTTGAACCACATCTGGATGAAGTACAAAGTGGGTTTAGGAAGGGACACAGTACGCAAGACCATATATTTACGTTAAAACAAATAATTGAGAAGGCTAGAATAAAGAACACAGAAATATATATGGCTTTTCTAGATATTGAGAAAGCATTTGACAGAGTGTCCCAGGAAGCAGTCTGGAAAAGTCTGCAAAATAGAAATATTGACCATCAACTAACAGGTGCTATCAAAAGTCTGTATCAAAATAACAAGAGTTATATACGTAAGGATAACTTGGAATCAGAGATGTTTGCAATAAACGAGGGTCTAAGACAAGGAGGTGTCATGAGCCCCACACTATTCATATTGATTATTGACGACATAATTAAGGAAACAAAAGCATGTATACACAAAGTACATATCGGATATAGTAAACTACGACCGGTTGGTATAGCTGAGTGTGCATTCGCAGATGACCTCATGTTATGCGCTTCCAACGAAAGGGACCTCCAGAAAAATATAGATACCTGAATAATGAGCTGGCAATCAGAAACATGAAGATTAATGTTAAGAAAACCAAGGTAATGCTAATAGCGAAAACTAACCGAAATGTTAACATAGAAATTAACCAACAACTCATAGAACAAGTAGAGGCATTCAAATACCTAGGGGTTACAATAGACAGAGAAGGTACCATGCAGAATGAAATAACAGAAAGAATCAGTAGTGCTTCAAAAGTGTACCATAATCTTAGTAGAGCATTCATAGGTAAACCGGAAATCACAGAAGAACCAAAATGACAGTTTATAAGACAGTATTCCGACCAATCTTGATATATGGAAGCGAGAGCTGGGTTTTAACAAAGCAATTAAAAAGCAAGATACAAGCCATTGATATGAAATATCTTAGACGAGTCAAAGGAATAACACGACGAGACAAAATAAGAAATGAAGATGTTAGAGAAGAACTGGGCACAGAATCAGTACTACATGCTATTGAAACACAACAAATAAAATTGTTTGGTCATTTGTGCAGAATGAGTGACAACCGACCCGTTAAGCAAGTCTGGAAGGCAAAAGTGAAAAGGTTTAAAATTAGAGGCAGACCACGGAAAACCTGGGATGACGAAGTAGGGCAGATTTTGAAAAGTAGGGGATTGGAATGGTCAGAAGCTCAAAATAAGGCAAAAAACAAGAAAGAATGGACAAAATTCGTGCACAGAATAGAATAAATTTAATAGAATAAATATATTTCATTAGATTTAGATGTAATGTATATCTGTAACCTGTAATTGTATTGTATTGTATTTACCTCACACCTTAGGGTAGAGAGGTTTTCGATTATATATATATATATATATATATATATATATATATATATATATATATATATATATTCAGTTGCTCTTCTTATAATGTTTAAGCATTTTGTAAGCTTAAAAACACAGAATGTTTCTCATCTAATTGTTTTACGATGGACTCAATTTTATCGAGCAAGAGGTAGAATTATACAATAACTAGTGGTAATGTAGAATATTTTTCTACGCAAAGTTTCGTTGAGAAAAGTTAAAAGTTGGTTAGAAACTTATCTATTTGTGTGAGTATTTGCCATTCACTATCTCTGTGATTTGTAAATTATTCAATTCGGTGACAGATAAGCACACGATTTTAATGCGTAATTTTGTTATAGCTGTACGGAGCATATTCTTCATATTCCTCAGTTTCGTCTTCATAATGTTTATACTGCTGTTCTTGTCCATTATTGTCAGTTTCACTGTGTAATGCCAAGATCCCAAGGTCTTTAATTAATCTTGTACACCAAGGTTCAAAATGTAAGCAAAGCATCGGAAATGTTATTTGTCTGAATCAAAGTATGGCAGCTGTTCGCCAGTTCACACATTCATTTTTTATTTGCAGTGGCATTGTCGAACGTGATACCCTGTATTTTATCAATTATGTCATATTCCAATAAACATTCATGGAAAAACGTTGGAATATCTTCCCTAGTATGTCGACCGCGTGACAATATAAAATCAAGGGCTATAGATGGATATTTCCATTCGTTGTCTATATAATGGATAGTGACCCCATATTAACTCCTACCAGCAATAATTGACGTCCATCCATCAATGGTAAATGACATTTTAAATTAAAACTGTTGTAGTCATTTCTTAAGATTCAATTAAAGCTCTTTAAATTGCTGTTTGACCTTTCTTCTAAGTGTGGACTGTTTTTAGGTATACATATAACACCATATTTGGATAAGCTTCGTGGTCGAAAAATGAGAAGATAAGATATTTTTTCACCATCCAATCAACTGTAGCTGTCATTATCTTATCACTGCTATTTTCCAAATGAAATGAAACAATAAATAATTGTGTTAATATTTATTAATAAAAAGTATCCGATTTTAATCATACTATGACCATATTACTAGCACACATATAAAAATTTATTAAAAATAAGATAGACTTCAAAACAAACTCTTGTAATAACTTCTAGATGCTTAAGAGTTGGTTTAAAGCCTTACTGAGAGGGTTAACGAGATTTAAGTTTGGAACAGACTTCAAAACCATTTAAAAGTTATTTTAAGCTTTTTGTTTTTTTTTTGAAGTCGATTTTATTTATTTTTAGTTAAAAAAAAAAGTTAATTTATTTAGTGATACTCAGGATTAACTTCCCAACCCCGTCACTCTAACATTGATGAAGCTTATATTTGAAATCCTTACAGAAAGTCCTTTCAAACCTGTATCAAGAGCACATATTCTTTTGGTGATAAGATAGCAAACTATTAAAACCGCTTATTAAAACAAAATAAATGTTATTAGCTATCTTAAAAAAGATTGGTATGTAGCAAAAAGTCTACTTACATACATTTATCAAGGGCACAGATTATTTTTGGTAATAATATAACTATAATCGGTTTATTAACGCAACATAAATGTTATTACAACCCTAGCACTACTTTTGTATGAAAAACCAACTTGAAAAGAATAAAGAATAAGTAAAAAATAAGGTTATTCAAACGAAGTTATTTTAAATTAAGGAGATATCTGCTTAATCAATATAGTAATTTATCAAAGTAGTAGGTACATAACAGTATATCCAGTCAGGATATACAGTCAGTATATCCTTTCTGTCATTTGGTACATAACAATAATTTTTAAAGTTCGAAGGTCCAATTCAATGTAGGAGAGAAAAACCTTTCATTCTAACCAAAAGAGAATTGTTTTATTAGGCATCCTAATTTTAAATAGTTTAGGAATCTTCTTGTGTAGTGTTGCCCAGGACATAGGCAGGACATACAATAAGCAAATTATAATTGTTACACACTATCATTTAGAAGCAACTTATATTACAGAGAAAGGTCTACGGAAAGAGGGGATCAGATAGAAATAGAATATCTTGGTTCCAAAAGTGGTTTTTCTTGATCACTTCAGGACTATTTCGAGTTGCGGTCAATAAAGTTAGAATTGTCATGCTAGTAGTCAACATCCGTAACGGACAGGTACCACAAGAAGAAGATCATTTAGAAAGAATCGAACCGCATAAAACAGCAAGTATGATAGGTAGGTTTTTAATGAATCTTAATTTTTATTACGTATCCATAATCTGACGTAGCTTCTGATCACAACCCAGTTGTTGTAGAATTCAGGTTATATCTAAAACAATTTCAACAGAGCCAAAATAAACACAACATCGATCTCTCCATACTGAAAAACACAAAAACAAAATTTAACGTTAAAATAAGGATAAATCAAGAACTACTGCTAGCTACAATTTATAACAGAAAATATCGGGATGCACACATCTAATAGAAGAACTTATAAGATACAAATAACTTAATCCATAAGATAAGATTACAAATAACTAAATAGAACTCAATACAAAGTACCATTACAAGAAAAAATACTGGATGACTGTCGAACGACTTAAAGTTGAAGTTAAATGAAGAACAGAAGGGTCATTAAAACTGTAGAAAAAACGAGACATCTCAAGATGCACAAAGAAATACAAAAGAAAATAAGATAGATAAATATATAAGAATATTAGAGAAATCGTCAAAAATTACAGACATATACACGTAAATAAACTAATTGACGACAACGAGCTGACAGCAACAGGCAACGAAACAAAAATACGAGCTGTTTTAAAGATAATAGACTCGGGCCTAGAACATCAAAAGAACAAAAATCGCGGATCAATGATAATAAATGAAAATATACTATATCCACTGAAAATATGAAAAGCGGAAAGGCTTCTGATCCAAGCTAGATGCCTGTTAAACTATTAAAGTTATTAAATGAAGGCACTATACATGAGTTTACCAAAGTCTACAAAAGGTCTATAAGAAAGCAGAATTACCAGGTGATTGGTTAACTTTTACTTTAATTGCAATCCCTAAAGAAAACAACGTCAAAGAATGTAAAGATAAGAGATCAATAAGTTTAATGAATGAAATTTTCATTCATTAAACTTATTGATCATTCATTCATTTATCATTCATTCAGATCATTCATTCATTCAGAAGATTCGTAACTCCACATTACTAGAACGTCTCAGCAAGACTACTGAGATCATAAAAAGCATCAAGCAGAGAAAGCTGGAATATTTCGGACGTGTAATGAGAGGTCCCAAATATAGATTGCTACAAAATATCATGCAAGGAACAATAGCAGGCAAACGCAATCCAGGACGAAAAAGAACCTCATGATTGAAGAACTTGCGAGATTGGTGTGGTGTAGATACAAGCATGCTATTTAGGGTGGCAGTGGATAAAATTAAACGTTCTGAAAGGACATGGTACATGAAGAAGAAGAATGAAATTTTTGTTTTTTAAATTATAGCTTCGTAATACACAGTTCGGAATTTCGCAATAAAGAGAAACTAAAGAGGCTATATTCAGCTTAAACGTATTTACGTAGCACTATTTAGGTGTGAATGAAGATGTTTATGTTTGCTTTGTAGATCATGAAATTTTGAAAGAAAAGCACATAGACAAGCGAGATATAACAATAATAGAAAAAGTATATTTTAACTAGACAGCGTTCCAGTGTTATTTATAGACGTTGCCGCTGGCATGTACCGCCGAGACAATGGTGTACCAACGAAAATTGCTCTGATCGAAAAAGTAGAAAGTCAAATTAAGAACCTGGTGTGTCATTTTCTACCAGAAATAAAAAAGAGAGAGATTCAAGTAAATCTGATGCAAGAAGTAATCATGTGTACAAGAATTAATGATTCTGCTACCTTTTTTCTTCTTAACAACGCTTGCCTCCCTTAGCAGTCCTTAGCTTGTCCCGTAGCGCTCACTTCACAAGAATTAGCGACCGCGACCGGACAAGAGAAAGACTGCCTCTCGGCATGTACGAATATTCTTGAGTGGCCCATGGCCCACACTGGAAAGTAATTGTTTCATTCCGTATTATATTAGACGTTATCTGTGTACATATTTTATTAATAGTAAAATCATCAGATCAATGAACCAAAGAGACAAACATGATCCATATAGATGTTGTCTACACTGTACCAAGGTGGTAGCTGCGAAACACCTTAACCAGTCCAAGGACCGAAGGATAAGTAGAAAGAAAATTAAATATCACCGACGAATCAAAAAATAATATTCGGTTAGGAAACCTCAGCTATCAGCCGGACAGAATTTACGATGACGACATTGCAAAAGGAAATTAAAAAGGAATCAATTTATCAGAATACAAAAAAAAACAATGTTTTAGATAAATAAATATAATCGTGAGTGGAAGAAGCTTAGTAATGTCACATATTACTTATCATATGTCAACTGCAACCTGTCAATTCTTCTTCTGTATCTGCCGCATGATATTAATGTGAATCATGCGGCAATATCATCATCAATATGAATGATATTATTATTTATTTTATATATCTATGATAGTAAAATATTAAATCAAAATTCATACTTGCGGCTGGGGTCATTACTAATCATCTTTGGAGGGAAATTCAAATGGACACCCCTTACATACATATCCTTTAGCGCCTCTTGCAGGCTATTTCGTTACTAATTAAAATTTGCTGGAAAATCTTACTATTTGTTGATGAAATAATCTCACATACCTAATCATTATTAAAAAATGAAAGAATATATAAAATGCACAATACAATAATTCACCATGTTTAGTTTTTTTACTAGCACAACACAAAAAGTCTTTGCTACAATACGTAACTACAACTAAACTTTAAAAACTAAGTAACCAACTTAAATTAAAATTACTAAAAATAAATGCAAACGAAAGTTAAAGATAATAAAATAAAATTGAAAACTTGTAAACAAACGGAAGAACTGTTATTACTTTTGACAGAATTGACATTGCGTAATTAAGCTTCCTTTGATTATTTCGAGCCTGTGCTAAAATAAATGATTGGTTAAAGTCTTCGTAAGAGAGATTGGCTCTCATTTCTCTTTATTAACTGCCTGAAGTCAAAGTGATGGGGGAATGTTCCAAAGTCATGCATATAAGTTTCCGGGCATGGATTAAATTAAAAAGGTCATCGTCCTATCTAAATGCATGTTGCCGTCGACCTTATATGGACGACAATTTATTAGATGGATTGACGAAAATTAATTTTTTTTTAATTTTTTTTATTTTTTCAGTAATTATTTTAAAATACATTGTACATAACTTTCTAACTTTAAATTAAATATATCACAGTTTGTACACAAAAAGTTGCAATGACTTATGCGGATAAGCAGGTTTTAAAACTACTTCACCATTAATTTTGTAGTTATCATAATCCAGTGACCATATTAACTCGTATCCCAAAGCTTTAGCCACAGCGGCTGAAAAGAAACTAGTACATTCCATAAACATTATTTGGGCACCGTGTTCTTTGGCAAGTTCTCTAAAAAAAATATTTATTGATACAAAGAAAAACTAACGTTACAATACGTTTAAGTTTAAAATTCTATAAGTATACAAGAAAGTAAACTAGATACCTAGATACAAAAATTTTAAATAATGATTCTAGAGTTTTATAATTAAACAAAAGGAAATAATTATGTATAATATATATATATATATATATATATATATATATATATAGGGAGAGAGATATATTTATATAGGGAGAGAGATATATATAGGGAGATATATATATATATATAAATATATTATATATATATATATATATATATATATATATATAGGGAGAGAGAGAGAGAGAGAAAAGGTGTACGACCGTCAATCCAATATAAAATAAGGATCACTCGAAAAGTGCCGGGTTTTTCGGTCAAAGATTGGAGAAAAAAGACAAAGATGATGGCTACTTCATCTATTTATTGAAAACGTTTCGCTATCAAATTTGATAGCATCATCAGTTCATCTAAAAAGAACAATATGAAAAACCTAACATCCAATGAAAAGTTATTAAGTATGTTACCTCAAAAAGATATGTAGCAGTCAGTGATATTAACAATTGTAAAGAAGCTTACGACAATGGACATTGTATAATTATGTTGTATAAATAATAAATTGAACTAAAAATTAGCACAGCAAAAAAACATGTAGTTGTACATGTATGTAAAAAAAATTATAGGTAAAAACTTATCATATATAAAAAAACAACATTAGTGTGGAAAAGAACTAAAAAGTTCTAGAATGCACTTCCAACAGTAAATCAATAATTAAGATTTCATTTTAAAAAGTTCAAATTTAAAAGTAATAATAAAATTACTACTGAGAGCTTGTCGAGTGCTGAGGGTGAAATGAAGGCAACAGGTGTTAAACGTCAACAACGTGAAAAGACGTTGTTGACGTCTTTTCCAAGAGGTCAACGAATGACAGAACAACAAGGCGTATTACTACCAACTCCAGTACAATAGAGCAGTTTATTTAAAAAATATGACAAAATTTGGTCTACAAACTGTTTGTAAAAACCAAAAACTGAAAGGAAAAGGTGGTTGAGATCTCCTTTTTTCCCTCCAGTGATCGGTTGAGATGAAATAAAGAACAAACAAGAGAAGTCAATCCAAAAAACCATATGTTAATAGTCTACGTTGTGACTGGTTAGCCAGCCACAGGGGAAGGATGATCAAACTTCCAACAGTCCAAGGTTCATCACATTTGGAACTGAATTTAATAAGATTCTATGAATCAATTTATAATAATAAAGTTGTATTAAACTATTTGTATGGAAACAATTAATACAATTGTACAAAAGCAACGTTGACATTATGTCATGAAATATAAGTTGCATAAATCTAGGATAATTTAAAGTAAGAGTTTATTATTTAAATTATTTTAATTTATATTTGAAAATTATTTAAAAAAAAAAAAAAAATTATGTAAATAAAACACCTTAGGTCACAATTTTTAAGTAAATAACATAGTAAGCCCAATTATGCAATATTAGAGCATGATAAATTTGGCTCACGTTACTAATGCCAGTTCTCTTATTAAGAGTATTAGGGTGTTTAAGTATATGACACATTTCTAAAAACTGTCTTTTGACGAGATTACGTTCAGAACCAAGAATCTTAACTCATTAAAATTTACTCTGTGTTTAGTGTTGATAGCATGCTGTGTAAGGGCACAAGTATGCTTAGATAAGTTGATATCACTGCGGTGTGTCGTAAGGCGCCTTCTCAGTGATCTCCCACTCTGACCGATGTAGCACGAGTCACAATCAGCACAAGGTAAATGAAGTTTTTGAAAACTAAAACACTCTTCGAGTGATCCTTATTATATATATATATATATATATATATATATATATATATATATATATATATATATATATATACATATATATATTTTGTAAAAACTACGACTGTCAATTTATATTAATAAAGTATTCAACTAGTGAATTCAGAGGTTTATTCGGTCAGTCAGGTTGGCAAAATAAAAAAACAGAAGTCAACTACTTCATAAGTTTATCGAAGACGTTTCGCTTTATATTTCTAAAGCTTCATCAGTTCTTTAAAATACAAAGATGACATAGAGTTTATAAGAAATACAGATCTAATAATTAATTACTTACAACTCAATATGTAGTATTAAAGATGTTATAAGATATGTACTTATGTTTACTCATAAATTTAGAACTAACTTAAAAAAATTAAACAGAAATATGCAAAAAATAACATTCGCAGAAACGAAGATTTACAAAAACTTCAAACGTACATTTGGCTTCATTTAGAGATGGTTTTCCAATGAATATATATATATATATATATATATATATATATATATATATATATATATATATATATATATATATATATATATATATATATATAAAGAAAACATAACACTCTGTTTGCTTTTCTTTAATTTATGTAATTTAAAATTTAATAGTTTTTTTACGCCCCTGTTTATACCCCCTCTGTGGCTCAGTGGTAAGAGCGCCTGCCTTTAAACCTAAAGGTCGTGAGTTCGAATCCCACCTGGGTGGAAATTTTCGTTTATTAAAAAAATTAATAAATGAAAATACTTTCTATCCTTGTGCGATCGGTACACACCGGAGGGACCGCAGACGTTCGGATACAATTAGCGTCTCTTAGCAAAGACAATGACGTCGACTTTGCTAAGTATCAAGACAATTACTCTACACACACACACACACACACACTACACCTCAAATTGTAAGATTGGCGAATGGATTTAGTGTCCGCAGTCATTTAAACACAAACAAACAACAATACGCCCCTGTCAAAATATTTAAAGTATCTTTTGACAGTGACATTGAGTCTTGTCATTATTAATTTTTATTACTACGATAAGAGAGGTCATTTTTATATTAGTTAAAAGCTTCAAATGTTGTTTCTCTTTGCAGGTAACGCAGTTTTAATTTAATATTGAACAACTTACTATAAAGCTGTTCTTTTTGCAGAGAAACCTAATTGGGTTTTACTAATGAAAGATTGCTGATTGAAGAAACAAACATGATTACATATATACCATTGGAACAACAAGTTGTCGTTCGATCGTTTTCGTGGTCTTTCCACTGATTGTCTTCCTATTGGGGAACAATATTTTGCCGCCTTTACTACTCTATTTGTTGTCATTCGTCTTATATGATCGTTACATTCTACTCTTCTATTTTTTACCCAGTACTTGATGTTCTCCATTTTGCATCTATGTCGTATATCTGTATTGTACTAGCTCTGTCCGATAGTGTTTTATTATCAAATTTTCTAAGTGTTATTATCTCTGCTGTTTGTCCTCTCTGTGCCAGGTTATGTTTCTGCCGCATATGTCACTATTTTTCTTTCACGATATTTTTATTTCTCCATACTGTTTCATTCAGGCAACCTGCGGCTCTACTTGCTCTATTCACTTGATCTTCCACTTCTGTTTTCAGCTTTCCGTAGCTAGATAATGTTATGTCTAGATATTTAAATTCCATTACTTGTTCTATTATCTAACCTGTCAGCTCCAATTTACATCTTAGTAAATAGGCTGATATAACCATGCATTTTGTCTTTTTTTGCGAAAATCAACATGTTAAATTTTCTATATTGCGTCGTCTGCATATCAGATTATTTTAAGTTGTTTTTCTTTCACAATCGTAAAATAGTTTCGAAACACAATTCAGATTTCTGCTTTTATCTGTGCTTTCTAAAAATTGCAAAGCAAAACAGACGTTGATAAAGGTGTTAAAAGAGACGTGGGGAATCTAAAATTTGCATTCCACGACACATCTTTTCAACTAAGCAGAAATCCTTAGCGAATTGGTTTCTTGTACTCGTACAGAGTAAATCCGAAAAAAGTGAAAAAGACAGCAAATATTTGATTTCACGCAAACAGCGCCTTTGTATCGGTTGATACGTATTTCGACCTAATAGGTCTCATCAGAACAGTTATTCAAAGGTGTTCTCAACGTGAAAGATCAATATTTTCTGTCTTTTAAGAAGCAACAATAACATGGCTTCGAATACGGACGCACTAGCGACATCTAATTTAACAATCGTAAAATAGTTTCGAAACACAATTCAGATTTCTGCTTTTATCTGTGCTTTCTAAAAATTGCAAAGCAAAACAGACGTTGATAAAGGTGTTAAAAGAGACGTGGGGAATCTAAAATTTGCATTCCACGACACATCTTTTCAACTAAGCAGAAATCCTTAGCGAATTGGTTTCTTGTACTCGTACAGAGTAAATCCGAAAAAAGTGAAAAATACGTATCAACAGATACAAAGGCGCTGTTTGCGTGAAATCAAATATTTGCTGTCTTTTTCACTTTTTTCGGATTTACTCTGTACGAGTACAAGAAACCAATTCGCTAAGGATTTCTGCTTAGTTGAAAAGATATGTCGTGGAATGTAAATTTTAGATTCCCCACGTCTCTTTTAACACCTTTATCAACGTCTGTTTTGCTTTGCAATTTTTAGAAAGCACAGATAAAAGCAGAAATCTGAATTGTGTTTCGAAACTATTTTACGATTGTTAAATTAGATGTCGCTAGTGCGTCCGTATTCGAAGCCATGTTATTGTTGCTTCTTAAAAGACAGAAAATATTGATCTTTCACGTTGAGAACACCTTTGAATAACTGTTCTGATGAGACCTATTAGGTCGAAATACGTATCAACAGATACAAAGGCGCTGTTTGCGTGAAATCAAATATTTGCTGTCTTTTTCACTTTTTTCGGATTTACTCTGTACGAGTACAAGAAACCAATTCGCTAAGGATTTCTGCTTAGTTGAAAAGATGTGTCGTGGAATGCAAATTTTAGATTCCCCACGTCTCTTTAACACCTTTATCAACGTCTGTTTTGCTTTGCAATTTTTAGAAAGCACAGATAAAAGCAGAAATCTGAATTGTGTTTCGAAACTATTTTACGATTGTTAAATTAGATGTCGCTAGTGCGTCCGTATTCGAAGCCATGTTATTGTTGCTTCTT